TGGGAGGTGGAGGTTTGGGGAATTTTGGGAGTTGAAGTGTTGAAATTTGGAGGGTTGGAGATTTGGGAAATTTTGGGAGTTGAAGTGTTGGAATTTGAGGGGTTGGGGATTTGGGAAATTTTGTGAGTTGGAGTGTTGGAATTTGGAGGGGTGGAGATTTGGGGAATTTTGGGAGTTGGAGTGTTGGAATTTGGGGGGTTGGAGATTTGGGAAATTTTGGAAATTGAAGTCTTGAAATTTGGGGGGTTCGAAATTTGGGAAATTTTGGAAATTGACATATTGGAATTTGGGGGGTTGGAAATTTGGGAAATTTCGGAAATTGACATATTGGAATTTGGAGGGTTGGAGATTTAGGAAATTTTGGAAATTGAAGTCTTGGAATTTGGGGGGTTGGAAATTTGGGAAATTTTGGAAATTGAGATATTGGAATTTGGGGAAATGGAAATTTGGGAAATTTTGAAAATTGGAATATTGGAATTTGGAAAAATGGAAATTTGGGAAACTGAAAATTGCAATATTGGAATTTGGGTAAGTGGAAATTTGTTAAATTTTGAAAATTGAAATATTGAAATTAGGGAAACATAGAAACATAAATGCTTATCAACCCCAAATACTTTCTACATTAATACAACTCACAACGCCATCCATTTCTGCTACAACCATCAACATCTCAAGTGCAAAATACGAAGAGCAATATATCAGCCTAAGTAGAAAACATGATTTTACAACACACGCATAATTCTTACTAAAACGTGCCACTTTGTGCAACATCCTTAACACAGCGATAGTTAATATCGAACCACGGAATACATAGACCGCTTAAAAGTGAAACTATCGCAAGAAGCAAACGCGTTTGTATACATAGAATAGCGCGGTTACGGTTCATCAGAAGATCGGAAGATCGATAAAAATTTTCACTGATGATTACCGTGAAACTGGTTTGTCCCGTTTGTGGGTCTCCGTAAAATCGTCGGAGATTTTCGTGAGGATGAAATATTATGGAAACGGAGAGAAACCTTGATTGTGAGTTTCAGAAATTCTTTAAGTAGAATGTAGCAGATTTACTGTTTATACATGAAATGCAAATTAAAAAATTAATACATAAAATAGTATATAATATATGAGTTCTACACATGAATAGTTCACACATATCCCAAATTTCCATTTCCTCAAATTAGGATATGCCAAATTTCAAAATTTTCCAAATCTCCACTTCTCCAAATTCCAGTATGTCAATATCCAAAATTTTCCAAATTTCCAACCCCCCAAATTTCAAGACTTTAATTTCCAAAATTTCCCAAATTTCCAACTCCCCAAATTCCAAGACTTCAATTTCCAAAATTTCCCAAATTTCCAAGCCCCCAAATTCCAACACTCCAACACCCAAAATTTCCCAAATTTCCAAGCCCCCAAATTCCAACACTCCAACATCCAAAATTCCTCAAATCTCCAACCCCCCAAATTCCAAGACTTCAATTTCCAAAATTTTCAAAATTTCCAACCCCCCAAGTTCCAACACTCCAACTCCCAAAATTTCCCAAATCTCCAACCTCCCAAATTCCAACACTCCAACTCCCAAAATTCCCCAAATCTCCACGTCCCAAATTCCAACATTCCAACTCCCAAAATTCCCCAAATCTCCACGTCCCAAATTCCAATATTGCACCCTCAATCTTCCAAATCCCTAAACTCCCCAACCCACAAACCTCCAAATCCCAAATCTCAAATCCCAAATCTCTAAAAATTCCCAAACCCCTTTCCATCCCAAGCGTCAACATACCGCAAGGTTCTCTTTCGCCTCATCCAATTGGAAAGCTAATTACCATTGAATAATTAATGCAATAAAAGTAGCGACATGTCGAAACGACCCGTGCGGGAACGTCATTCACGCATTCCAGTATGCGTTTCACCGCGTGACAAGCCGGCTAAGTTCAAAGCGTGAAAATCTCGTGTCGAGGATATCACGGACGATTCTCTCTGCTGTTCTTAAGAGAGAGAGAAAGAAAGACAGAGAGAGAGAGAGAGGGAGAGAGAAACGTGCACGGGACAACCGGTTGAACGCGATTCTCACTGGCGATCCAGAGAATCGGATGGAACGGACCTGTTGACCAAGTGGCCTCATTCGATCTGAAGACCGGAAGCGGTCTGCCGTCTCGACGCACGGAAAACACGGAAAGCCGCGGCTAAGCAAAAACACTCGATTTTGCGAACCAGTTTAACCACTGGGAAATCGGGCACTTCCTTTGCCTTTGCATTCCTTTGGGATACGAGGAATGCAACAAATATATTGTATTATCGATGCTAGTAATGTTGTACTTTATCTTACTTATGTATTCTTCTTTACTAGTTTAATACTTTACTATTTTACTTTAGTTTATTGCTTAATAATATATTACTTCACTACTTTACTTTAATACTTAGTAATATATTAGTTTATATATGACTGTATGTATCATCTGATATGTTTGTATTGTATTTGGTATGTGGTTATGATGGTATATGTTATGCGACATATGTGTTTAATTATTATTTCACATATGAGTACATATATGATCTCATATTTTGGTGTTGTCATATTTTATATATAATTGCACGTGTCATCTGATATATTTGTATTATCATATTTGGTATGTGGTTGTGATTGTATATATTATGTGACATATGTGTTCAGTTATTATTTCACATATGAGTACATGTATGACTTCATATCTTGGTTGCCATATTTCATACATGATTACATATATCATCTGATATATTTGTATTATCATATTTGTTACATGGGTGTGATTGTATATATCATGTGACATATGTGTTTATTTATTATTTCACACATGAGTACATATATGATCTCACATCTAGGTATTGTCATATTTTATATATGATTGCAAGTATCGTCTGATATATTTGTATTATCATATTTGTTATACAGTTGTGATTGTATACATCATATGACATATGTGTTCAGTTATTATTTCACATATGAGTACATATATAACTTCATATCTCTGTATCATTATATTTTATACATACTTACATATGGTACCTCATACATTTTTATTGACATACATTATTTATCATACATATTCCATAAGTGTACCTGGTCATTGAGTCCAAAATCAGGTCACCTTATCTTCATTCCCTAAATCACTCATTCAATTTTCGTGTCCAATCTTTGTCTCACATTCCTGCATATATTAATTTTACCACTCCAAAAGAAAACATGATTTACAGTATTTTAAAATAATTACATATTATTCATCCTATATTTAATTATCATTGAACTTAATACTAAGAATGCAGCACTGCTTCTCAAGCAGTGAGAACTCGTTATCGACAATGAAATCGTGAGACAGTGTAATTTACATTAATGTACAACAATCGAAATAGCGGTAGTCCGTTTAAGCGGGTTGCGGTCGATGTCCTCATTTTCCCGTAACTTCCGGTTCGAAAAATTAACATTGCTATGAACTGCAGGAATGCAGTCACTTATTTGCAGTTAAAAATCGATTACTGTTGTCCAAAAATAAAAGATGTGGTTCGTAGGAACAATTACTCTATTTATTATAAGTATTTGCTAGCTTAAAACTATGTTGACGATGTACAATAAACAGTGTCGCAATAAATAGTTGTGGACGTACGATACAAAAATATATCTACTTAAATAAATCTACAAGCTATGTACATAGCTAACAAAAATGCATATGAGACTGTACTTAAACATCTAAAAAGTGTAGTACAAAAATATATGTACTTGAAGTACAAGCTATATACACAGCTAAAAGTATGTGAGACTAAATGAAGCTGTACTTAAATATATGAGACTGCATATGAAGCTGTACTTAAATATATAAGACTGCATATGAAGCTGCACTTAAATATATAAGACTGCATATGAAGCTGTACTTAAATATATAAGACTGCATACGAGACTGTACTTAAATATATAAGACTGCATACGAGACTGCACTAAAATATATAAGACTGCATATGAGACTGTACTTAAATATATAAGACTGCATATGAGACTGCACTTAAATATATGTATAACATTACACCTAAATCTCTCAATTAATTCAGCTAGTATTCTACAAGACTCTTCAAAATGGCAGCTCAACTCCTCAGTCAAACTCCAACCTAACCTAACCTAACCATACATACAAATATCAATCGTTGAAGAGAGCTGATGTCATGACAATTAAATGATTTCGTAAAAAAATCAAGTATTATGAAACTTACACTTTACTTCTAAAACGAGAATGATTCAAACTTGTTAAAAGAATTGCACTACAAATAATTATTTTAATCATCCCCGTTCTGAAAGGTTCAGTATAGATTAAAAGAAAAAGAAAGTATGGAAAGTTCTTTTTTAAGGAGTGGGATGTGAAGGTTGAAGGTTTTGGAATGGTTGGAAATTTGAGGGTTGGAGAATTTGGGACGTTTGGAAATTTGGGGGTTGAGGAATTTGGGACGTGTGGAAATTTGGGGATTGGAGAATTTAGAACGTTTGGAAATTTGGGGGTTGAGGAATTTGAGACGTGTGTTAATTTGGGGGTTGAGGAATTTGGGACGTGTGGAAATTTGGGAGGTGAGGAATTTGGGACGTGTGAAAATTTGGGGGTGGAGGAATTTGGGACGTGTGGAAATTTTGGGGGTGAGGAATTTGGGACGTGTGGAAATTTGGGGGTAGAGGAATTTGGAACGTGTGGAAATTTGGGAGTTGAGGAATTTGGGACGTGTGGAAATTTGGGACGTGTGGAAATTTGGGAGTTCAGGAATTTGGGACGTGTGGAAATTTGGGGGTTGTAGAATTTGGGACGTGTGGAAATTTGGGATTTGAAGAATTTGGAACGTGTGGAAATTTAGGGGTTGAAGAATTTGGTACGTTTAGAAATTCAGAACTTGAAGGTTTCGGCACATTTAGAAATTTAAGGGGTTGAAATTTAGAAAATTTAGAAATTTATAGAGCAGTAATTATAAAACTACAAAAACTTGAAGGATTAGAAATTTAAAACTCCAGAAATTGGGTATGGATGTAGAAAAGTAATAAAAAATAAACAAAAGAAACTAACCCTATGAGGTCAAACTCTCCAGAGAGCCACCAAAAACTCTAACCCAATAAATAATCAATTTTACAACTAAATCTCTATGACTGATACTCTCTGTAGCCTCGATAAGCAAGGTCCTGTCCAAAGGACACAGTATCTCCTTGATAACCTTGATACTCGGGTCCATGATGAACATCCTGCTCATAAGCGTAATTATTCGAGTTGTCCTTGTAATAAGGGTAGCCTATTCCGCTCTGGCTATAAACCGGGGGATGATAGCTCTGCGAGAGTGGTTTGTACAATTTTAAGAAGGCGATCACTCCGGGTATAACGATCGCTAAGAAGCCGAGGAACTTCTTGAAGGACGCGAGACCCAGGATCAAAGGCAGGAACAACAGCAGCTTTAACTTGAAGAGCTTCAACACGATGAGCATCGGTATGAGGAGCTTCCGCAGCTGATTTCGAGCTGCAATAAAATTTAAATTGTTTGTTAAACATATTTGTTACTTGGTGTTTAAAGAAATTTGTTTATTTATTATTTGAAGAAGTTTGGTATTTTTTTTTGTTTTAATAAGTTTGGGATTTATTTTTTATTTGAACGAGTTTGGTATTTTTTTTATTTGAACAAGTTTGGTATTTATTTATTATTTGAACAAATTTGTTATTTGTTACTTAAACAAGTATGTTATTTATTTATTATTTGAACAAATTTGTTATTTGTTACTTAAAGAAACTTACAGAAGAGGGAGTCCTTTTTATCTTCGATCGTGTCGATTTCGTCTGCGATTTCGTCTAAAAATCGAGGAGCGTACACCTCGTTCGCTCCGGTTTCTTCTGAGGGCACGTGTAATTCGATGGCGACGGTTTTCACAAACTTTTCTAGCTTTCGCAAAGCGAATTTCATTAGTTGGTCCCACTCGGAGTCGCTGGACCTGAAATATGGAGAATTGGATTAGAAATTTGTGAGGAAGAGGGTATGAATTATACTTGGCTCAGTGATACTCAAATCCCCGATTTCTCAAGTACTAAATTTTCAAATCCTCAAATTTCTAAATTCTCAAATTCCTAAATCACCAAATTCCATAATTCCCAAATTCCCAAATTCCCAAATTCCCAAATTCCCAAATTCCCAAATTCCCAAATTCCCAAATTCCCAAATTCCCAAATTCCCAAATTCCCAAATTCCCAAATTCCCAAATTCCCAAATTCCCAAATTCCCAAATTCCCAAATTCCCAAATTCCCAAATTCCCAAATTCCCAAATTCCCAAATTCCCAAATTCCCAAATTCCCAAATTCCCAAATTCCCAAATTCCCAATTCCCAAATTCCCCAAATTCCATAATTCCCAAATTCCATAATTCCCAAATTCCATAATTCCCAAATTCCATAATTCCCAAATTCCATAATTCCCAAATTCCATAATTCCCAAATTCCATAATTCCCAAATTCCATAATTCCCAAATTCCATAATTCCCAAATTCCATAATTCCCAAATTCCATAATTCCCAAATTCCATAATTCCCAAATTCCATAATTCCCAAATTCCATAATTCCCAAATTCCATAATTCCCAAATTCCATAATTCCCAAATTCGATAATTCCCAAATTCCATAATTTCCAAATTCCAAAATTCCAAAATTCCAAAATCCCTGAATCCCTAAATCCCTGAATCCCTAAATCCCCAAATCCCCAAATCCCTTAAATCCCCCAAGTCCCCCAAGTCCCCCGAATCCCCTAATTTCCCCAAATCCCTGAAATCCCCCAAATCCCTGAAATACCCCAAGTCCCACAAATCCCCCAATTTCCCCAAATCCTTGAAATCCCCCAAGTCCTCCAAATTCCCAAATTTCCAAACTTCCTTACCTCGGTTCTCCAGAATACTCATACGGCTCGCGACTAACTTCCTTCACCACATCCCTCGACATCCTCACAACCTTCACATACTCATTCAGATTATACTGCGGTTGATCAAAGAAATCCGAAAAATAATCAAGAGCCTGAGACTTGAAACACTCCGCCAAGTCTCCATTTAAACAACCCTTATTCGTCTTCGCCACATAGGGATCCACGTTTCGACCTGTTCCTAAACCTATCCAGTCGAAGAGACCCTTTCCTTGTCGCGTCTTGTTGAAAGGAATCTGCTCTTGTATTTGTTCCTGTACTTTCGGCGCATGGTTCTCTAAAAAAGAAAAAAAAGAAAATTCATACAAATACATTCAAATAGAAATGTATAAAATTATGTATGTATACTGTCTTCTATTATGAAATACACTAATTATAAATAAAAATAAAAGAACGAGATCTAAAATCAAAATTAATCGTCTGAGACTTAAGAGCAAATGTATGGATGTCTTAAGGAAATTCTTCTTTTGAAATTAAGGATGAAGTTGCTAATATATAAGATTGTATGTGAAACTGTACTTAAACATATTATAAGACTGCATATGAGACTGTACTTAAATATGTAAGACTGCATATGAGACTGCACTTAAATATATAAGACTGCATATGAGACTGTACTTAAATATGTAAGACTGCATATGAGACTGCACTTAAATATATAAGACTGCATATGAGACTGTACTTAAATATGTAAGACTGCATATGAGACTGCACTTAAATATATAAGACTGCATATGAGACTGTACTTAAATATGTAAGACTGCATATGAGACTGCACTTAAATATATAAGACTGCATATGAGACTGTACTTAAATATGTAAGACTGCATATGAGACTGCACTTAAATATATAAGACTGCATATGAGACTGCACTTAAATATATAAGACTGCATATGAGACTGCACTTAAACATATAAGACTGCATATGAGACTGTACATAAATACATGTATAAGACTCTACCTAAGTCCCTCCATTAATTTATCTAGTATTCTATAATGAACAAATTATAAAACTTGAATAGTTGCATACATGAACTCACACCGAAGTCGCAAAATAAATAAAACAATTATACTTCTAATATACTTATAACATGAACTGATACACACATAGATTCTTAACCTTGATGTACATTGCCAAAGATTTCAAGAATACCAAACATAACCAAACGCAATCCTTGACATTAATTTAAAGAAGAGACTTGAAGATCATTTCCATTGAATCCTTTATTGGATCCTCGATCCTATATGAAGTAGAGTTACTTCATGAAGTAGATCCTATATCTAGTATTGAGTTACTTCATGAAGTGGATCCTATATCTAGTATTGAGTTACTTAGTGACAAGTACTCATAGCTTCAAAAGTTCCTTCAAGCTTAAAACCACTTAAAATTTCAAAAACGTACCGCGTCCTTCAGCGTCACCGGAAGTCCCATCCTCAAAGGTGACGGCCAAGCAGGGTACCAACAGTATCCAGAACCACAGTCCATGGTTAACCAACGTCTTCAATTGCATGCTGCTCACCTGAACGTTGCACCTGCACGTCCAACATTTTACAATCCCCATTTACACTCATTTTGTATCAAATAAAAAACATATCGCAGTATTGAGACCATGTCACTCTCGAAAGACCTCCCTTGATACCTCAAACTTCCACACAGAAAATTTGGTTTCTTGATATAAAATTCCTTTGGAGTCTTACCAAATCGTCAAGTGACCGGTTTCCAGAACGACATGATTTCGGGAAGAGGAAAAAGTCACGTTGATCGCGATTCACGAACCACGCTCGAGTGTCCGCTGGAAAGCAACTTCGATCGTAACCGCGCTGTGGATTCCGAAGTGCCGTTACCTCGGCGGACCAATCGCGTAGCGGGATTCAAAGGAACCGGGTCCGTAACCTTGTATTCCGGTCGCGCCTTCACGGTATTCGTTACGATCATCACGTACGCTCTTAATCAACGATAGTTCGATTTTCATGGTTTTTGGTACCGTTACTTTTTTTTATTTTTATTTTTAACTGGATAGGAGACCATTTTTTTATTTTTTTTAAGGCCATGTATTTGATTTTCATGGTTTTTGGTACCGTTACTTTTTCTTATTTTTTTTTTTAACTGGGTAGGAGACCATTTTTTTATTTTTTTTAAGGCCATGTATTTGATTTTCATGGTTTTTGGTACCGTTACTTTTTCTTATTTTTTTTTTTAACTGGGTAGGAGACCATTTTTTTATTTTTTTTAAGGCCATGTATTTGATTTTCATGGTTTTTGGCACCGTTACTTTTTTTTATTTTTTTTTTAACGGGGTAGGAGACCATTTTTTTATTTTTTTTAAGGCCATGTATTTGATTTTCATGGTTTTTGGTACCGTTACTTTTTTTTTACTGAACTGAGGGGGTATTTTTTTTAATTTTAAAGCCGTGAATTTGACTGAAGTTTTGGAGGGTTGAAATTTTTAGAGATTTTATATTTTTAGGGATATAACGTTTTGGAAGATTGGAACTTGATGAATTTTGAATTTAGAAGCCTTCAAATTTTGAGAGATTGAAGCTTGAGAAGTTTTGAAATTTTGAGAGATTGAAACTTGAGGAGTTTTGAAATTTTGAGAGATTGAAACTTGAGAAGATTGCAACTGTTGAGAGATTGAAACCTGAGAAGTTTGCAACTGTTGAGAGATTGAAACTTGAGAAGTATACAAATTTTAGGAGATTGAAACTTGAGAAGTATACAAATTTTAAGAGATTGAAACTTGAGAAGTATACAAATTTTAGAAGATTGAAACTTGAGAAGTTTGCAACTGTTGAGAGATTGAAACTTGAGAAGATTGCAACTGTTGAGAGATTGAAACCTGAGAAGTTTGCAACTGTTGGGAGATTGAAACTTGAGAATTTTTGAAATTTTGAGAGATTGAAACTTGAGAAGTTTTCAAATGTTGAGAGATTGAAACTTGAGAAGCTTCCAAATTTTCAGAGATTGAAACTTGAGAAGTTTTGAACTTTTAAGAGATTGAAACTTGAGAAGTTTTAAATTTTAAAAGCCTTCCAATTTTGGGAGATTTGAAACTTGAAAACTTTTAAAATAAAGGAAGATTGAAACTTGCAGTATTGAATTTTAATAATCTACTCAAATTAAAAGATCTGTTTCCTACCTGAGTTCAAAACTACATTTACCATAACATCACTAAATCACATCTTCTGTCACAAAACCATCATTAACACTAAAACTACCGATATTAAATACACTTCAAAATCAAAAGTAACGTAGAAAAATAAATAATACACTATAATATTCCAACAGAAACCCTTCATAAAACCTTCATGACACAAAATCTCAAATTTCTCCTACTTGATAATTCCAATATTAAACATCAAACTTTAATATAAATGACCCAAATATCGATCACACATCCTCATTGAAACAAAATCACAATTCATCAAAACTTCATAAAAATCTCAAACCACTAATGACTTTAATTTCTAATTTCGAACAACAAACTCAAACCTGCCAATTACATAAACAATTTCTCACCTTAATTAGAAAACGAGTCAGTCTCGATATGAACAAGTATTCTCGTCCCGATTGAATAACTTGAATAACCGATGAATGAACTTGAAGCAGTGCGACGCATCTGCTGGAGTTTGACTTCATTTATACGATCAAGCATCGTTGCTCAAAAGGAGACAGAGAGAGGGTAAAATCCGTGGGTTGTCGCGGGAGGAAAGAAAAAAAGAGGCGTTGAAAAAAATCGAAAGTGAAAGCAGTCGAACCGGATGTAGGACCGGAATCGGGCAGTTTTGAACAAAGAGAGACGAGCAGGAGCAATGAATCGGACGAAGTCATTGGACTTTCCTTCGTAATTCTATGGTCGAACGTGCGTCATAGCCTTGCTCCTTTCGTTTTCTCTCGTGACCCATACCTATATGTGGATGTGGATGTATGGATACGTTTGTGGTTGTGTGCTGCTCTTCCGGATTGAGACATTGGCGTAAGGATGAGAGGAAGGATGAGAGGAAGGATGAGAGGAAGGATGAGAGGAAGAATGAGAGGAGGAATGAGAGGAGGAATGAGAGTAAGGATGAGAGGAGGAATGAGAGGAAGGATGAGAGGAGGAATGAGAGTAAGGATGAGAGGAAGAATGAGAATAAGTTTGAGAAATACAAGATGGAGGCTGAGATTGAAACTTGAGAAGTTTACAAATGTTGAGAGATTGAAACTTGAGAAGTCTTCGAATGAGATGGAGAACCGAGGGGTCGTAGATTTAGTATTTGAAGTATAGAAATTTTTAGGGGTATAGGTTTTTGAATTGGCAAATTTTTAAGTATTGGTATTTACAAATTTTTGGAGCAACAAATTTTCAGATCTTCAATTTCTGAGTTCAATTTCCATATCCTCAAATGATCAAATCTCCAAATTTCCAATTTTCCCAATTTCCATATCATCAAATTTCCAAATTTCCTAATTTCCATGTCATTAACTTCTCAAATCCCTAATTTCTACAACCCCAAATTCTCAAACCCCCAAATTCCCAGACTTCCCCTCTTCCACGTCCCTGAATTCTCAAATCCCTAATTTTTACATCCCCCATTTTCTCAAACCCCCAAATTCCTAAATTTCCCAACTTCCACACCCCCCAAAATCCTGAAACCCCAAATTCTCAAATTTCCCCTCTTCCACGCCCCCGAATTCTCAAATCCCTAATTTTTACATCCCCCATTTTCTCAAACCCCCAAATTCCTAAATTTCCCAACTTCCACCCTCCCAAATCCTCAAACCCCCAAATTCCCAAATTTCCCCTCTTCCACGCCCCCCAAAATTCTGAAACCCCCAAATTCCCAAATTTCTCAACTTCTACATCCCCTAATTCTCAAATCCCCAAATTTCTAAATTTCCCAACTTCCACACTCCCAAATCCTCAACCCCCCAAATTCCCAAACTTCCCCTCTTCCACGCCCCCGAATTCTCAAATCCCTAATTTCTATAACTTCCATTTTCTCAAACCCCCAAATTCCTAAATTTCCCAACTTCCACCCTCCCAAATCCTCAAACCCCAAATTCCCAAATTTCCCAACTTCCACCCTCCCAAATCCTCAAACCCCAAATTCCCAAATTTCCCAACTTCCACCCTCCCAAATCCTCAAACCCCAAATTCCCAAATTTCCCAACTTCCACCCTCCCAAATCCTCAAACCCCAAATTCCCAAATTTCCCAACTTCCACCCTCCCAAATCCTCAAACCCCAAATTCCCAAATTTCCCAACTTCCACCCTCCCAAATCCTCAAACCCCAAATTCCCAAATTTCCCAACTTCCACCCTCCCAAATCCTCAAACCCCAAATTCCCAAATTTCCCAACTTCCACCCTCCCAAATCCTCAAACCCCAAATTCCCAAATTTCCCAACTTCCACCCTCCCAAATCCTCAAACCCCAAATTCCCAAATTTCCCAACTTCCACCCTCCCAAATCCTCAAACCCCAAATTCCCAAATTTCCCAACTTCCACCCTCCCAAATCCTCAAACCCCAAATTCCCAAATTTCCCAACTTCCACACCCCCTAATTCTCAAATCCCCAAATTCTAAACTCTCCAAATCTTTCCCCACTTACGCCAATGACCGGCCCTTTCCACATACCTCACAATCTCTCTCTAAACCAGGACACATTTTATGGTCAAGGCGTGTTTACGCAACCATCTCCAAGAAAAATAAAATAATCTTCGCGCAGCGTTTTATTTACGCACTGTACAAGAAATGCTTCGACGAGACTCTTGTAGAATCCCATCGAATAAATAAATATAATAAATAAATAGCTAGTGGACCTCGAGGTAGCAACAACTCTCCTCGAGTTCCTCGACGCACGATAATTCGCTACGTTATTACAATAGTACGCTAAATCGCTAATCACTGCATTATCTGTCGAACATCAACACGTCGACGCCATATTTGTTCGAGCATGTCGAAAGGAACTCGAACTTGAGATTCGAAGTGACGTGCACTAGAGGTTAGGTCTAAAATTTCATTCGTTGAGATGTGGAAATGTCACGTGACGCACCTTTCTTCGGGTAATTCGACACCCTTTGCTTCGGGTTATGACCCTGCTGTTTTTTAGGATAGTTCACACAGGTTGGTTCATACACACAGATATGCGGATATGCGAATTTTGTCGAGGACTTTGAGCTTGCGTTAATATGTTTCACTTATTATTGTGAACATGTGTGGGTAAGAAGTAGTGACATAACAGATGACACACATGTTATAATAAGTGGAACATTTTTAATATTCATATTTTTGACGTGTCATATTTGAAATGTTACTTGGAACGTCAGGTATATTGAACGTTGGACCTTTTAACACTCTGACAGCCATTTTCAGTATATCATTATATATATTATTTCTATAATTTTATAGTAAATGTGAATTTAGAAAAATTGTATTTGAGTGATATGTTATATAATGGAAGATTGTGTGACGTGTAGTATAAATTTTAAATAAGCTACTCTCAATTGGTAGACCTAACCTTACTGACGCTGTTTTGATCAGGTATAGCTTGTACCTTATAGAAGCAAGTATAATTTGTACCTTATAGAAGCAAGTATAGCTTGTACTTTGTAGAAGCAAGTATAGCTTGTACTTTATAGAAGCAAGTATAGTTTGTACTTTATAGAAACAAGTATAGTTTGTACTTTATAAAAGCAAATATACCTTGCCTCTCTACATTTTCCCAGAATTGAAGACAAATATAAAATTCACCAGAGTTCACTCTAATAACTGAGTTACTATATGACAAACTGCAGAACAATAAATTAAGCAATCTCCCAATAAAAAACTGCACAGGTATATTAAAAAGCCGCAAGAGCCATCAAAGTGTTAAAATAAACCAACAGGAGATTTCCAACCAGCTGGAGACTTCAATGCCTGGTCAGTAGTATCCTCCTTTACCCATCTCCTAAAACCAACTTGACACCTCCTTTTCCCAACTATCTCCTAATAAACTCCTCAAAAGATGCAAACTGAAGAAAGCAGCTCAAAGTCCTCGAACCCCAAAAGAAACCGTCTTTCCTTCGCATCAAAAGAAACCACTAGAAAGACACAATGATTCCTCAACATTTTCAGACTTTCAGTCGAAAGTTCCAATACTCTACAACTTTCTCGCGTGTACCAGTTTATCAATATCCTGGTACGTGGCCAACATCGCCTGGTTCTGTCTCAGAGTCTGATCCTCCTGCGCGATCGCACACTTCGAGTACGCATCCTCGCACTTCACTCCATCCTGGCCATCTTTGGCGGCCTTCATGTAACGGAAGAACCTGAGGACGTCGGGATTGTCACTGCTGGGTCTCCTCAGTTCGTTCAACTCTCTCGATAACTGCGCCGAGACCAGGTTCGAGTATGGCGCGAAGCGGGCGGGACTTCGGTACATCGCGCACACCGCGTACTCTCTGCAACCCTCGGTTGTGTGACCCAGACGGGAGAACACGGCGTCCAGGCGGGATAACAGCGGAGAGTAGAAGGGGTCGTAGTTCGTCAGCAACAGGGAACTCGTTGGAATCTCGTGAAAGACCTGACAAAACAAATTTAGAAATGAGATAATGATATAAGAGAATGAGACTGAGACTCGTGTCTTTGTTTCATGATTTTGTGGAAATTGAGTTTGAGATCAGCTTTGTGATGTGTTTATTGTTGTGGAGATTGTGGGAGATCATAGAAATTGATTTAAGATATGAGAGTTTGTTATATGGCCACTTTTGTAGGGGCGACTGAGTAAATTAAAGAAGAGAGTCATGTAAAAGTATCGTGGGAAAGCATTATTAAGAAGGCCTGTGTTGTATAGTTAAGAGCTGAATTATTACGCGGGAGATTAGTAAGCGTTATGTTACTTGTACCCAATTACATGCCGTTTGAATTACTAAGCGTTGAATTACCATACGCGGAATCACTATGCGTTAAATTATTTCGCGTAGACTTTCTTACTCGTCGAATTAAAACAAATTGAATTGCCACGCGTCGAGTTGCCACGCGCCGAATTAGCATGGGTCGAATTATCACGCGTCGAGTTACCACGGATCGAATTACCACGAGTTGAGGTGCAATGGATCGAATTACCACGGATCGAATTACCACGAGTTGAGTTGCCATGGATCGAATTACTACGCGTCGAATTACCACGGATCGAATTACCACGCGTCGAATTGCCACAAGTTGAGCTACCATGGCTCGAATTACCACGCGACGAGTTACCACGGATCGAATTACCACAGGTTGAGGTGCAATGGATCGAATTACCACGCGTCGAGTTACCACGAATCGAATTACCACGCGCCGAACTACCACGTATCGAATTACTACGCGCCGAACTACCACGTATCAAATTACCACGCGTTGAATTATCACGCGCCAAATTAGTTACGCGTCAAATTACCACGCGCCGAATTAGTTACGCGTCGTATTACCACGCGTTGAATTACCACGCGTCGAATTAGTTACGCGTTGAATTATCGCGCGTTGAATTATCACGCGTTGAATTACCACGCGTCGAATTAGTTACGCGTTGAATTACCACGCGCTGAATAACCTTATGCGTTGGATTACCACGCGCTGAATAACCACGTGTCCAATTACTCATCGCTGAATTACCACGCGTTAAATTTGCCTTATGCCGAATTACCACGCGTTGAATTACCACGCGCCGAATTACCACGCGTCCAATTTACCTTGTGCCAAATATTGTACTATGCAAAGACTATCATTTACCTTGAAGTCTTGCTTTTTGGAGAGTCCATGCGCAGCAACATGTCTGGTGTAATATCTATCTGAAATAGCGTTCGCGTGAGTGATCCTAGGATCAACGAAAGAATATCGTGACGCTATTTCTGGGCTCTTCTGTGGCTGCATCATACTCTCATCGTACATGGCCGATGCCGGAAGCGTTCCTACTGGCTGTCGTGTTAGGTAATCGTCGTTGTACAGATCGGAATTGTCCTTGAACTCGAAGTTCTCTTCTGGTTGTGCTGTTGTATGCGCTGACTGGGCGAATGATGTCACGCCTATAGAAAATGGTACACTTTTACCAACATTGATTGATACACTTTCCACTTAATAGACTTTTAACTACATTTTTCATTTCTATATATTTTTGTATTTAAACCTATCTATTATAATTAACATGCAGCTCACACATTTAACAAGTAATTTAATTGTTTAAGATTTCTATATAATTTGGTTTAAATACGTACCTTTGCCAACGATATTACCGATACTGCCAATGATACTCGGCAAGAAAAGCGCAATGAGAACGCTCTTAATGATCTGTACACCAAAAATGAGAGGTAACAGCAGCTTCTTCAGGCCAAACGCTAGAAAACCAAGTCCGAATCCTGTTAAAAAGGTACTCTTTCCCTGAAAGATGGCTGAAAGCAAAAGTACCAGCACGTTAAAGCCCGGTTAGTCCTGAAAGCCATGCTGCATATTGTCTCAATCTCCCGCCATTTTTCTCCGTATCTGTTCCAGAACAATTCGCTGTAAAATCAGACTTGTGTTTTTAGCGACGATCGACAAAAAACCGATAATTCATGAAGCTGAACAACACATTTATTTGTATTCCGTGCCAATGAAGCCTAAGTTATTTTTAGAGCGCAGAAAGCCAATCAGTGTACGTATAAAGCGTTCTTTTTTATTGCGTTCTTAAATGTTAACACATTTCGTGTCCTCTTTTCGATCGGAAAGCGTGGTTTGAGTCGTGATCGTAGCGATTTTGAAACTCGACTTGAACTTAGAGAAGTGACCGAGGCAGGTTTCTAATTGACTCCTGTATTACCTGTTTCCGCAAACTTGAAAATGTGTGCACTCTAAATAAATATGCCTACTTTCTCGGTGATGGACGAAATCTAACTAGACATTTTTCGCTGAGTCGAAAGTTTTTGCCTGCCTTTCATCGACTACGATCAAGATCCAATTGCGCTGACTTCACTGGCGGGTTTGGGAGATTCACTGCAGAAAGTGTTATGATGGTGAGCACATGTGGTCAAAATATTAGACTAAAGGAAGTGATAGGACATTTGAGTACATCGTTAATTTATGTGGACTCAATTCACTCAGGTACTTTATTTTCGTAGGAGACTTTCTATATAGGTCCATTCTTTTCAGAAGAGGCTACAGTAGGATCTGTAGAGTCCTAGGTCTTTTAGTGTCCTCAGAATCTTTGGAATTTGAGGATACCTTAGATATGGTAGTTCGGATAAATATACTAAAGATACTTTAGATATGGTATCATAGATGAAGATACCGGACATCTTCAAAAACATCAGAAGCTAGGGATACCTAGAGCTACAGTTACTAGGATCAGCAGTAATCGACAGTTTCTAAGACATCCCAAATTAGAACACTAGAGACTGTCTAGACTACATATGATTATAGTCACAGCAGTAATCGTCAGTTTCTAAGACATCCCCCAACCGACTCAACCCATATAACACTTTCTATTCTCAGTAACCAAAGCCAGCGAAGTCAGCAAAGTGTCCTCGAAGTCCAGGAACCATCTTCCACACACAATTGCAGCAAGAAGCAAGTACATGGTACACACACGTCGAGTACATAGCAACAACGCAAACAGGCGAATCTCTCTCTCGCCTGGTACGGCGAGTTAACGAAAGCGTGACTCCGTGGACTCACCGTTGAAGAAGGTTCTAGCTTTTCTACCGGAAACTAAGTCCTGGCTCAGACGTATCTTTATTACGTGCTCTCTGGCGTACCGGTGAACCTTATCGATTAGGCCCGCGTCCGGATGGACGTTACCTTTTTCGTCCGTCCTGGCGACGTCCCGGTTCCGAACGATCTGCACGCTGTCGGTGACGTTGTAATCCTCGATTCCCGACAACCTGTCCAACAGGTCGGATAGTTCCTGTTGGACGCACGACTGGCAATCTTCAGGGGATGACGTCGCGTTCTCCAGTTGCGACGCCTCGATCTGATACTGCAGCTTGTCGTCCGTTTGGATCATCTGGTTGAGGTTCGTGTCGAGTTTCGAGGGCTTGTCGGGTGACTCGTGGGGATGGGGTTCGAGGTCGTAGCTGAACACCTCGTTCTCCTGCTCGTGGCCGGTGTCGTTCGACACGTGGTCCCCGAACGATGGCTGCAGCCACGCGATCGCCATCAGTGCCAACAATCCTCTCGATAACATCGTCCTTTGCGTTTCAGTCACTGAAGACTCTCTCTCTCTCTCGGCTAGCTACTTTCAGCGACGAACGATAACTGCATCTCGATCCGCGGTCGTTCGGTGGCCTCTGCGATATAATAAGAGCAATTTGAGGAGGGATCACGCGAACGTTCGTGCCACGAGTATGCGCTAATGGCTAACGGGTTGAACTTGGGTGAATTGCAAGGAACTTGTGAGAGAATCCGAGTAACGTGGGTTAGGTTGGTGGTGGATGTTAAGTGTGGTGGTTAGGGAGTTTGAGAAGATGAAGATTTCGAAGTTGGGGTTGGTTATGTGGAAGTTAGGCAACTTCTGCACTACTATTAAATATTGTACATTGTTCAGAGACTTGAAACCTAAGTGCATTCCTTACGCAACCTGAATGTATCTCAGACGCATCATGACGCACTATGACGTACCATAGCAAACCATGACGCAACATGACGCACCATGGCGCACCATAACGCACCATGACGCACCATAGCGAACCACGACGCACCATGACGCATCATGACACACCATGACGCATCATGACGCACCATGACACACCATGACGCATCATGGCGCACCATGGCACACCATAGCGAACCATGACGCACCATGACACGCCATAGCGAACCTCGACGCACCATGACGCATCACGACGCACCATGACACACCATAGCGAACCATGACGCACCATGACACGCCATAGCGAACCTCGACGCACCATGACGCATCACGACGCACCATGACACACCATAGCGAACCATGACGCACCATGACACGCCATAGCGAACCTCGACGCACCATGACGCATCACGACGCACCATGACACACCATAGCGAACCATGACGCACCATGACACGCCATAGCGAACCTCGACGCACCATGACGCATCACGACGCACCATGACACACCATAGCGAACCATGACGCACCATGACACGCCATAGCGAACCTCGACGCACCATGACGCATCACGACGCACCATGACACACCATAGCGAACCATGACACACTATAACGAACCTTGACGCACCATGACGCATCACGACGCACCATGACACACCATAGCGAACCATGACGCACCATGACACGCCATAGCGAACCTCGACGCACCATGACGCATCACGACGCACCATGACACACCATAGCGAACCATGACGCACCATGACACGCCATAGCGAACCTTGACGCACCATGACGCATCACGACGCACCATGACACACCATGACACACCATGACGCACCGAAACCCACCATGACACACCACGACGCACTCAGACGCACCATGACGCACCCTGGAGCACTTGTCACATATGTGACAAACGTGGTACCATTGCAATCAGACCCAAAATTATATAATTTGCTAAATCAAATCCCACACTTGCATCTTTCACTAATATATTAAATTGCTTGTGGTTGCTGGTGTCCCCTGGCTGCGTACAACGTGGTAACTATACTAACTCATTTGCCAATTTAAATTGCCTGTCTACCCCAAAATAGCATGAACTCATAGTGCAATCCCTAAGTGACCCGCAATGCTCGAGTCATTTTAAAGTATCCATAAAATTGAACATTCAGAATTTACACTCTACACTTACGAGTGATTCTGACCCATTACTACACACAATTTATCTGTGTAGTGGTTCATTACTACAACAGAGCACACGTGAAAAGATCACATTCCTTTCATTCCATCGCCTGACAAGTGAACGCTTCGTGTCCCTAAGAGGGAGAAGCAGGAAGGCTCGAACGGTACTTACCGAGGTTGTCTTTGAAAATCGACCAGTATTAAACGTTAGTTTCGATAGTCGCACGTATTTTGGTTGTACGAAACTGTCAATCATCCATGTTGTTCGTGAAGGAAGATGTAAGTGACAACACCGTGAGAAAGGAAAGTTCGAGACGACGGCCGACTCGATACTGGCGAGTCTCCGGAGGATCGACTGGACTGATCCGATCTGGGTTACCCGGCCATCCGTCTGTTCGTCCCTCTGTCCGTTCCTTTCCACCTTCCACGTTCGTTCATTCGTCGAATCCGCTCCCACTGACTGCTAACTACGAGCGTCCTTCTCTCGACGTACCGCGTGGACGGTCGTCGTCCTCTTCCATTCAAATCCGATCGAATTCGAGGCGGGTCCGAAGAATCACCGGTCCGATTTCACCGCCTGGAATTTCGGCTGATGACGCTCGAGGATCGCTCCTTTCATGATTTTTCTCCTCTCCCTCTTTTTCCGCGACTTTCTTACGAAAAGTAATAGTACTTTTAATACCGATTTATAGATGACACAGTTTTAATTATTGGGTCACCGTTGCGGTTTTGGGGAAAATTGTTATTTGGAGAGAAAATGGGTCGCCATTTCTTGTGGGAGATTCAAGGTTATTGCGGATCTTTGTGCAAATATCTTCTCGGGTGGCTGTATACTTTTTTATCGTGGTTTGATGTATTTCCTCAGTTTATTTAATGTATCTTGTACTTTTTTAATTCAGATACCGTTTATACATTTTTAAATATCGACAATTATTTGTAGTACGTTGGTCATTGCTCTGTGAAATTATTTGATTCGCTTATTTAATTATTTATATAGCTAATACATCATCCATGAATTAATTATTTATGCACCTAATGTATTCACAAATGAATTATTTGTATTTATAATTTTTCATCCATTTAATACATCAAACGAGAAATTAATTATTTATCCATCTAATGTGTCCACAAGTTATTTGTCCATCGAATACATCATGCCACAAATTAATTGTTTATCCATTTAATGTATCCACAAATTGTTTATCTATTTAATATATCAAGCTAGGAATTAATTATTTATCCATCTAATGTGTCCACAAGTTATTTGTCCATCTAATACATCATGCCACAAATTAATTGTTTATCCATTTAATGTATCCACAAATTTTTTATCCATTTAATGTGACAAATTATTTGTCCATCTAATACATCACACCACAAATTAATTATTTATCCATTTAATGTATCCACAAATTTTTTATCCATTTAATGTGACAAATTATTTGTCCATCTAATACATCATGCCACAAATTAATTGTTTATCCATTTAATGTATCCACAAATTTTTTATCCATTTAATGTGACAAATTATTTGTCCATCTAATACATCACACCACAAATTAATTGTTTATCCATTTAATGTATCCACAAATTATTTATCCATTTAATGCGTCTACAAATTATTTGTCCACCTAATACATCATACCACAAATTAATTATTTATCCATTTAATGTATCCACAAATTATTTATCCACTTAATGTGTCCACAAGTTATTTGTCCATCTAATACATCACACCACAAATTAATTATTTATCCATTTAATATATCCACAAATTATTTATCCATCATATAATCCTACATTCTCCACCAAGATAAACTAAATTAAAAAAAAAATCTTCCTCAAATAAAATTCCACATGACACATTTTGAACAATTCAACCTAACCTAACCATAATTAAAATATATCCACAGCAGGTAATCAGAACCAGTCAGTCCACAAGAATTTTTAGACCCGCTTTCTCGGTGGCACGTTAACCCTAAACGAATTAGCATGAAATTTCTAAGCAGGTGTGTCGAAGGCAGATGCGCGCGCGGAAAGTTCGACGCGGAAAACCGCGCGTATTCGACGCGTGCGATGTCGTTGCACCTTCGACATGGATATCGCGTTTTTAACGAACGTCCAAGTAGGCCGTTAATCCGGTTTCGACTTTGTTTTGTTTCCTATCGAAAAGATCGCGATCCGATAAAAGATCGACGTTGTTGCCCCGCGACGTGCCATCGAGCGTCCATTTCCATGTAAACGATGTCCTCCATGGTACCCTGTCCGAGCAGATCGGTATGCTTTTTACGAGCGATTTCACTGTGACCGCGTCCCGAATTCGAAACGGTTCGATTCCTCGAAATCGTCGGTCGTTTACTTCTTTGATCGCCTGGGGAAAATGGAACGCTTCCTGGTTATTGATTTGGTCGTTTTAAATCTTAGGGTCACTGGGGTCACTAGGAAGATTACTTCAATTTTGAATACTGGGGTCATTGGTATCATTGGGGTCACTAGGATTATGTAAGGTCAGTAAGGTTCTTGCAGGTCACTGGAGGTCTTTACTAGGGAAGTTACTAGTTACATGAGAAGTCTAAGGTCACTTAGGTCATTAAGGTCACTTAGGTCACTAAGGTCACACAAGACCATTCTTAAGGTCATTAAAGTTGAAGTAAAGGTCTCTAAAATTGATAGCATCGTCAAGGTTAGTACAGCTTATAAGGTTGAGAAGGTGTCTAGGGTCCCTAGAATTCATATAGAAATAAAGTAGAATTATCTTAAATTCCCTAGGACTAATATAGAACTACCTAGAGTTCCCTAGTGTTAATATAGGACTACTTAGAATTCCCTAGGACTAATATGGAATGACCTAGAATTCCCTAGGATTAATATGGAACTACCTATAATTCCCTAGGATCAATATAGGAGTACCTAGAATTCCTTAGGACAAATATGGAACCACCTAGAATTCCCTAGGATTAATACAGGACTACCTATAATTCCCTAGGACTAATATGGAACCACCAAGAATTCCCTAGAATCAATATAGGACTATCTACAATTCCCTACATTCCACAGGCAGCTCCACCTAACTGTACTGCACCAATTTTCCCCCAAAGAAGTCCACAATAATGTCACCACATTTTTCACTAGTGAAGCATGTCATGCTCGACACAGTATGATATATTATACTCCCGTCGCAGTTATTTGAACTCCTGTTTAATAACATATTCGAAGAACGAACGGGATATCGGTGACGAGTCGATGACGTTCCCATGTTTCACTAGTATTCGAAGCGTTTCTGATTTATTGCTCGCTGATTGTTATCGTTGCTTTATACACCTCGACTACAAACATTTATTTCATTTAAAAACAAGGCCGTACCGTTTACCTTGTTTTTTCGCTAGCTGATCTTAATTGGATGAAAATGATGAATCTGAATGATCTGAATCAATTGAACCTGATTAGGTACATTTTGGATTGATTATTGTAAGCAATCTTAGCAAGATTATGTCTAGATGAACCTATCTAAATAAGCTTGATGTGGTGAACCCGACTAAGTGAACCTACTTAGGTACATTTTGACTTGATCGTGATAAACAAGCTTAGCTAGATGATGTCTAGATGAATCTATCTAAATAAGCTTGATGTGGTGAACCTGACTAGGTGAACCTACTTAGGTACATTTTGACTTGATCATGACAAGCAAGCTTAGCTAGATGATGTCTAGGTGAATCTACCTGAATGATCTAAATCAAGGGAACCTGACTAGGTGAACCTGAATAGGTACATTTTGATATGATCATGATAAGCAATCTTAGCAAGATTATGTCTAGGTGAACCTACCTGAATGATGTTGATGTGGTGAACCTGACTAGGTGAAACAGATTAGGGAGATTTTGACTAGGTCATGATAGGTAATCTTAGTTAGATGAACAAGTCTAGATGATCTAGATCAGGTCTAGGTAATCTTGGTCTAGCTGCACAAGTCTGAGTGATCCTATTCATATGAACTTGACAGCAAGGACTTGGCTAGGTGAACTTGACCACAAGGTTGATTAGGTGAACTTGACCGCAGGCACTTGACCAGGTGAACATGTTCACATGAAGGTTCATGGGTAGGTACCCATGTCCAGATGAACTTCAGTCAACCGAAGAACAAGATACTTACCTTCAAACTCACTATGGAGTAAACTCACGTGTTCTCAAAAGAATGCTAAAAATAGTATCAAAAGTCGACCAGTTTTAGAAAGTGCTTCAGAGTTGTCCAGTCGTGACTAGAGAATTATTCGTCCAAACAAACTTGCAAACATGATCACCAATTGCCAACTACATTTCTCCAAAATAAATATCAAACACTATCTCCTTAACACTATCTCCTTAAAATACTATCTCCTTAACACTATCTCCTTAACACTATCTCCTTAACATGCTATCTCCAAAAATCCACTCCCCAAAATTCCCTCAAAACATTTCCATCCCAAAAAAAACCTTCGCATCGTTCGTTCACGATACACATCGATCGTCCAGTGATATGGGTACGCATCGTGGCGTGCCGTTATGTTAATACTCGCTTCTAACGTAACGGTCGAGTAACAGCGAGTCGGTTTCGCGCTCCTTGAGTCCCAGACGGCTAAGACCGCTTCGACCGATCATCTCGATCATTGTTATTAGCGTGACGGATGGTTAGCCGATATGGCGTGGAACGGCCGGGCGCGATGCCTGCTCGCGCGAGCATCACGGTGGGCACAAGTGCACCATATCCGCTTGTGGACTCGTCTGGGGTCCCATAACGGTCAACGTGTCGTGCGTGGGACACGCGTGCGGCAAACGTCCAAATCTGTCAGTAGGTCACTCGTGCCTGGGTCTGACCAAGTTCTTTCGAGTTTCCAATCAGCTGACCTTGGAGTTATAACTGGGCGGATACTTTTGAAACTCTTGCTGAAAGGAAAGGATGATATTGGTAGGATAAGTAGCTGTATAGGTAGGTTTTGATGATGACTCTTTTATTGATATTTTATTGATGGGCTTCTATTGATGGCTTTTATTGATGAATGCTTGTGTTTTGAAGGACTTAAAAGTATTTTCTAGTAAGTATGCAATAAAAAACAATGATTGCAATGCAAGGTGTCCAGTGATCATAATTAATGAGAGTTAAAATTTAGCTATGCATTATTGTGCTTGATGATACTTGCTGGTACTTGATGATACTTAATGGTACTCAATGGTGCTTGATGATACTCAATGGTACTTGATGGTACTCAATGGTAGTTGATAGTACTTGATGGTATTCAATGGTACTTGACGATTCTCATTGGTACTCAATGGTATTCGATGATACTCAATGATACTCACTGGTACTCAATGATACTCAATGACACTCAATAGTATTTGGTAATACTCACTGATACTCAATGGTACTTGATGGTAGTTGATAATACTCAATGGTACTCAATGGTACTTGACGATACTCAATAAGACTCAATGGTACTCAATGATACTCAGTAGTACTTGATGGTACTTAATGATACTCAATGGTGCTTGATGGTAGTTGATAATACACAATGATACTGAATAGTACTTGATGGTACTCAATGGTACTCAATGATTCCCAATGATACTCAATAATACTTGATAGTACTCAATGATACCCAATGGTACTTGATGGTAGTTGATGGTACTCAATGATACTCAATGGTACTTGATAGTAGTTGATAGTATTTAATGACACTCAATGGTACTTGATGATAGCTGATAATACTCAATCATACTCAATATTACTTGACGATACTCAATGGTACTCAATGGTACTGCAAACAGTACCAGAATGATACTCAATAATAATTTATGGTACTTAATGATACTCAGTGGTACTTGATGATAGTTGCTAGTATTCAATGATACTCAATGGTACTTGATGGTAGTTGATAATACTCAATCATACTCAATAGTACTTGACGATACTCAATGATACTCAATGGTACTCAATGATACTCAATAATACTTGATGGTACTCAATGATACTCAGTGGTACTTGATGGTAGTTGCTAGTACTTAATGATACCCAATGGTACTTGATGATACTTGATAGTACTCAATGATACTCAATGGTACTTGATAGTAGTTGATAGTATTTAATGATACTCAGTGGTACTTGATGATACTCAATGGTATTCAATGGTACTCAATGACACTCAATAATACTTGATGGTACACAATGATACTCAGTGGTACTTGATGGTAGTTGATAGTATTTAATGATACCCAATGGTACTTAATGATACTTGATAGTACTCAATGATACTCAATGGTACTTGATGGTAGTTGATAATACTCAATGATACTCAATAGTACTCAATGATACTCAATGATACTCAATAGTACTCAATGACACTCAACGATACTCACCGCCTCTAAAAGAATTCAAAAATACTTCCCTATTAAACAAAACAAATTAAACAACATACATTCCAGTTTTTTAAAAACATTTCATATATTAACTATTACAGTACAAAACACTGTATTCATACAGTACAACACACAAATGCTCTCTAAATACATCATTATCGATGATCAACGGATCCCTCATCCCGTGGAACACAATCTTCACTACCGCAGTGCTACCATATCGTTAATCCTAACACCAATCACCGATCACTGCAAACTACATTCGAAACCACATACACACTCCAACATGCATATCCGTTACAATACAGGAAGTCGCGTTGACATCACGCGAGCCGACACGAGAAAATACGTTCTCATAATCAGATTTACGGTACATAACATGCATTTCAATGATCAACTTCGCATGCTATGCACTTTTTTATTAAAGGCGTGTTCGTGACTTAAATCGCTAACGGGACGCCGTGAAAGTTCAATTTTTCGCGAGCACGCCTTAATCACTTAGCTAAATCAGTGTCACTATGACAGTCTTTAAGAAGTATTATCTACGAAATATTGCTAGACACGGAGCAGGGTCGCCGGGGGCCTCTGGAGATATCAGGACGATTCTGACGAACGGCGAGCTTGCTCGACGAGTCGGTGGAGTCCTACGCTTCATCCGTAGGGATTGCGTATATAAGTGCCGTAGGCTAGGTCGTTCCTGTGTACCCAAGCTGGCTCCTCTTGACCGTATCCTGTGGGTAATAGTAATTAATTACCTTCTTTGCAGATTGTGAGATATTTGAGGGTACTTAGTGTTGAGGTAGTTAGGGTTGAAGTGGAGGAATGTGGAGGGTTGAGAAATTTGGAAAGTTGGAAGTTGGGGGATGTGAATTTGGGGGAGTGAAAATTTGGGGGGCGCAGCAAATTTGGATGCTTAGGAATTTGGGGTCGTGGGAAATTTGGACGCTTGGGAATTCGGACGCTTGGAAATTTGGGAACGTAGAATTTGGGGGAGTGAAAATTTGGGGGGCGCAGCAAATTTGGATGCTTAGGAATTTGGGGTCGTGGGAAATTTGGACGCTTGGGAATTTGGATGCTTGGAAATTTGGACGCTTGGGAATTTGAATCGTAGGAAATTTGGACGCTTGGGAATTCGGACGCTTGGAAATTTGGGAGCGTAGGAAATTTGGACGCTTGGAAATTTGGACGCTTGAGAATTTGGACGCTTGGAAATTTGGGGTCGTGGGAAATTTAGACGCTTGGGAATTTGGATGTTTGGAAATTTGGACGCTTGGGAATTCGGACGCTTGGAAATTTGGGGGCGTAGGAAATTTGGACGCTTGGAAATTTTAACGCTTGGAAATTTGGGGTCGTGGGAAATTTGGACGCTTGGGAATTTGAATGCTTGGAAATTTGGACGCTTGGGAATTCGGACGCTTGGAAATTTGGACGCATGGAAATTTTTACGCTTGGAAATTTGGGGTCGTAGGAAATTTGGACGCTTGGAAATTTTGACGCTTGGGAATTTGGACGCTTGGTAATTTGAACGCTTGGAAATTTGGGATCGTAGGAAATTTGGACGCTTGGAAATTTAGACGCTTGGGAATTCGGACGCTTGGAAATTTGGACGCTTGGAAATTCGGACGCTTGGAAATTTTGACGCTTGGGAATTCGGACGCTTGGAAATTTGGGGTCATAGAAAACCTGAACGCTCAGAAATATGAAAACTAATTGCACCGTCATAAAATCATAATTTTCAGCAACCACAAAAACTTGAACCCCACGCTAAACGTTATAACTGCGCTCAAATGACCGTCACAGTCCACCAACCCAAAATATGACCGCACACAAAGAACACAAATCAACGATCATAAAAAACGATCCTACCCAACAATTACCGAAGGAGTAAAATGTTACGTAACTGTAGTTCAACAACGAAAGAAAGAACTGGCATTTGATTCAACGTTTGGTTGCTCGTGGATCTCTGTAATCGCGTGTCGTAATCGATTGTAATTTACTACGTCCCGAAATAGCGAAGCATGACGAGGGCAACGTAAACTTGCCCTAGTTCTTATACCTGTTGGATAATCAACGGGAGCCTCAGCGGCGGTGGCCCACATTTGATAGGGTTGCGGATGTGGAGGAACCTTGCAGATCTTCAGATGCGATAGAATGGATGGTGCTATGAGTGATCCGAGCACCAGTAATTTCTTGATAAAGTGTACTCCTAGGAATATTGGTATAAGTAGTAACTTCAGCTTGAGGAGGTTTAGTAAAATTAGGATTGGGAGGATGAGGGATTTCTTCTTTTTGAAGATCCTCCATTCACCTGGGAACAAATTTCATTAGTTAATTTTGTTAGGTAGTTTCATTAGGTAGTTTCGTTACTTAGTTTCGTTAGTTAGTTTCGTTAGTTAGGTTCGTTAGTTACTTTCGTTAGTTAGATTCGTTAGTTAGTTTCGTTAGTTAGTTTCATTAGTTAATTTCATTTAGTTTCAGTTAGTTTCATTAGATAGTTTCATTAGTTAGCTTCATTAGTTAGCTTCGTTAGTTAGCTTCGTTAATTAGCTTCATTAGTTAGTATCATTAGTTAATCGTTATATCACCTTACTATATCTACTCTTTAATTTAGATAAGAAGTTAGACAAGAAAATAAGAAATTTATATTATGTTAATTTTGAGGTTATGTTTGCTTCTTGCTAAGGTATTCAATTTATTTAAGGTACTGTATTTAATAATAGATGAGACTATCAAGTTCAAGTGTGAGGTTATTTTGATGTTGAGGTTATGTTTCTCTATGTCTTATTAAAAAACGTATTCAATTTATTTAAGCTAACATAATAGTTATTAAGTTCAATTATTATGTTGTTTTCGTTTTAAGGTTATGTTCATTTCTTCTTTTCTTATCAAGGAACGTATTCAATTTATTTAGGAAATCAATTATTATGTTGTCTTAATTTTGAGGTTATGTCATTCCTTCTTTTCCTATCAAGGATCGTATTCAATTTATTTAGGAAATCAGTATATTTATTTATGTTGTAATAACTGAGACAATAGGTATTTTATATGTATCTGTTAATGATGAAGAAGAGTGAAATATTTATTTGTTCATGATAAAGGAAAATGATATATTTATTTGTTAATAATTGAAGAAGATTGTACATTTATTTTTTGTGTGACATTTGTGTGTGCATAAAGAAAATTAATGTATGTATTTATTTGTTAATAATTAAGGAAAATTGCACATTCATTTTTAGTATGACATTCATGTGTGCATCAAAGAAAATAATGTATGTATTTATTTGTTAATAATTAAGGAAAATTGCACATTTATTTTTAGTATGACATTCATGTGTGCATCAAAGAAAATAATGTATGTATATACTTGTTAATAATTAAGGAAAATTGTACATTTTTAGTATCACATTCATGTGTGCATCAAGAAAATAATGTATGTATATACTTGTTAATAATTAAGGAAATTGTGCATTCATTTTTAGTATGACATTTGTGTATGCCTCAAAGAAAATAATGTATGTGTTTATTTGTTAATAATTAAGGAAATTGTGCATTCATTTTTAGTATGACATTTGTGTATGTATCAAAGAGAATAATGTATGTGTTTATTTGTTAATATTTGAGAAAGTTGTGCATTCATTTTTAGTATAACATTTATCTGTATCAAGAAAAATAGTGTATTTATTTAATTGTTAATAATTGAAGTATTTAAAGAAACGTTAAAAAAAACACAAAAATACCATCATCTTTCCTGCTCTGTAATTCATCCAACTCATCCTCGTCCATGACCATAGGCACAGTCCCAAAATTCCTCCCCGCCACAGAATTATCGATGGTATAAACCAAAGCACGTTTCGTCAGCAGGTCCTCGAGAACGTCCCTGACGAAGTTCAAGGCCTCGACCGCCTCGCTCTTGAACACTCGACTCTGAGGTAACTTCGGCAGAATCGATTGCTGTGTTATGCTTGGTATCCGTATTACGCGAACGGGTCCATAAGTGAATTCCTAAACATCGAAATTTAAATCCATAACTCGTAGCGTGCTTAAAAGAGTATATAGAGCAGGACGAAAAAGTTGATCCGTCAACCATGTTAATTAAAAAGTAAAAGTCGAGGAAAGTGGTTTATTTTGTGTGTCGACACTCTCGCTGTTGCACGTGATGGATAATAATGGTCTATAGCGGAATCCGTTACGCCATATTTCAGACAAGTACTCGTTTCACTGAGCTATTGGATTTACTTCTTCTGAAGACACGTAATTTTATGTCTTGATGAATTGCTGATTTGAACGTGTCAGACTTTCCCGCCAAAAATTGTAACTTGTGGTTGAAGAAATGTACTTGTTACTTATTACTGTATATAATTTACATTGATGTGCATAATTTATATTGATGTACATAATTTACATTGCTATACATAATGTATATATTGTACATCATTTTATATAACCATGTCATACATTGTAAATAATAATTCAATTTCAGTAAGATAAAATTATATGTTCAGTGGCAAAAAGATAACAAAAAATGAATGGACAAAATAAAAAACATATAAAGATGTTCATAGAAACAGATAAAAAATAAAGAGTATAAAAAAAAAAAAAAAAAAATTGATCTACTCAAAGTGGTTTTGAACTTGTAATAGTTTAGTTAGGCAACCTATGACTCAACCACCTGTGCTACCACAACTATCAAACTTCAATTAGGTAATTTAATATCATATTCCTCAGGTATCATATTTCAGAGAGTAAGTATTAAATAACTCTTAATATAACAAATATTCACACAAGCAACTAAATACAGATTAACATACTTTCACTGTAGCTTCGTCAGAAAAAGTTGTATCAAACTTGAGGTCTCTTTGCATTCTTACAGTACTGTTGGATTCCAGGAGAATTTACAACACACTTTATTTTAAGAAAATTCGAACAACTTTATTGGGTCGACTAACAATAAGTTCTGGACTCTTTCTGAACCTTTTTGTACATTGCGAGAGTTATGTATACTATTGCTGGAGAGGGGTTGAGGTAGGGACGGTGGTCAAGGGACAGTGTGACTCAGGAGGGATGCGAGATCCAGGATGAGTAGAAATCGTTTCGATTAGTGTGTTTGTTGCGGATGAGTCTGTAGTGTTTGCTACCTTATTTGTTTGGACGCGTTGGTCATCCAACAGTACCTTAACCTCTCACTATGATTTGTCAGGAGCGTTCTGCACTAATTAGTTCTAACTAGTTATAATATTGAAACGGACAAAATGTCAATGGAGTATTATACAAATGTTGACCAACGTTAGACGTGACCTTCGAACTTCATACTAAAAATTCCAGTAAAATTAAGGAAATACCTTATTTCTGACAGTGTCATGCAACCACCTGACAACTCTATATTTCCCACAACTAATCAAGCTCTTATCCAGCCTACAATCCGCCCGACACTTCTCCACGAAAGCGCTCGTCGAATTCCCAAAGGCGAACGTCTCTCGCAAAATCACCAAAAGAAAACAACCGATTAGCACCGATCGAAACGCGGAGGCACGCATGGCACGCTTCATGATTCGTCGCAATGAAATCACAGATCGCTTATTTGCAAGGTCGATGAAATCTCATGCTGGCCGAGCGTCAATGCACCGTGAATGAACACCTCAAGTAAACACGAGCTTAGGTCCACAATCTCACTGACAGTGGTTAGATGCTGGTCTTGACCATTTATACGGCGTGTATTTAGGTCGGTGGGGGTACCGGTCCATGGCTTAGATAATACTGCACACGGAGACTGCAGCTTGATTCCGCGTGTTGCGAACGTAGTCTGGAAAGTTAGGAATAATTGAATGCAGGGAAGCTTGACGTAAAGTTTGTCTGTTCGAATGCTGAACTGAGAACAATGGAGATGGGGTGGTAATTAGAGGCGAACAATACAACTGGAGTTTATATTGAGACCTTGAAATGACGAGGATATCTTGTCAAGGATGACATTCTGTAAAGAATAACATTCTGAGCTATTTTATTATATGTACCTGCCAATTTTATATATGTATGTATATGTACATACGTTCGTACATATTACTGTCTGGTTTTAAGAGACTCTATGTTGATGATGATTTAAACATCAATAGCGATGGTTATTTAAACATACGGTTATTTAAACAAACAAAATAACAGTATAGGAAAATGTACAGTATGAATGTAAGGATGTATAGTATACAGTAAAATGTAGTATAAATATGGTACAGTAAAATGTAGTGTAAATATGGTACAGTATAATATAATACAAGTATGGTGCAGTATAATGTAGTACAAGTATGGTGCAGTATAATGTAGTACAAGTATGGTACAGTATAATATAATACAAGTATGGTGCAGTATAAGGTAGTACAAGTATGGTGCAGTATAATGTAGTACAAGTATGGTGCAGTATAATGTAGTACAAGTATGGTACAGTATAATATAATACAAGTATGGTGCAGTATAAGGTAGTACAAGTATGGTACAGTATAATGTAGTACAAGTATGGTACAGTATAATGTAGTACAAGTATGGTGCAGTATAATGTAGTACAAATATGGTGCAGTATAATATAGTACAAGTATGGTGCAGTATAATGTAGTACAAGTATGGTGCAGTATAATATAGTGTAAGTATGGTGCAGTATAATGTAGTACAAGTATGGTGCAGTATAATTCAGTACAAGTATGGTGCAGTATAATTCAGTACAAGTATGATACAGTATAATATAGTACAAGTATGGTGCAGTATAATTCAGTACAAGTATGGTACAGTATAATATAGTACAAGTATGGTACAGTATAATATAGTACAAATATGGTACAGTATAATATAGTACAAGTATGGTGCAGTATAATGTAGTACAAGTATGTTGCAGTAAAATATAGTACAAGTATGGTGCAGTATAATGTAGTACAAATATAGTGTAGTATAATATAGTACAAGTATAGTACAGTGTAATATAGTACAAGTATGGTGCAGTCTAATGTAGTACAAATATGGTGTAGTATTATGTAGTACAAATAATGTAGTACAAGTATGGTACAGTACAATATAGTAGAAGTATGGTACAGTATAATATAGTACAAAAATATACAAAATAAATATAACATGACAGAAGGAGAATATAACTAAGCACGTGACAGTAGAAAAATCGTACGAGAAAATGGCGCCGCGCGAACATAAGATGGCGGAAGAATAACACAGCAGAAGATGATACCAAAAAAAGTAACTCCGTAAAGAAACAAAACAGTATAAATAGAAAATCACAGAAAAATTATATAACAAAAAGTGTGGCAGTAGAAAAATTGTAAGAGAAAAATAGCGCAGTGCGAACATAAAATGGCGGAAGATGAAGAGAGCAGAAAATGATACCGAAAAAGTAACTCCATAAAAACAAAAAACAATGTAAATATAAAGTCACAGAAAAATTATATAACAAAAAGTGTGGCAGTAGAAAAATTGTAAGAGAAAAATAGCGCAGTGCGAACATAAAATGGCGGAAGATGAAGAGAGCAGAAAATGATACCGAAAAAGTAACTCCATAAAAACAAAAAACAATGTAAATATAAAGTCACAGAAAAATTATATAACAAAAAGTGTGGCAGTAGAAAAATTGTAAGAGAAAAATAGCGCAGTGCGAACATAAAATGGCGGAAGATGAAGAGAGCAGAAAATGATACCGAAAAAGTAACTCCATAAAAACAAAAAACAATGTAAATATAAAGTCACAGAAAAATTATATAACAAAAAGTGTGGCAGTAGAAAAATTGTAAGAGAATAATAGCGCAGTGCAAATATAAAATGGCGGAAGAAGAACAGAGCAGAAAATGATACCGAAAAAGTAACTCCACAAAGAAATAGAACGGTATAAATATAAAGTCACGGAAAAATCATATAATAAAAAGTGTGACAGTAAAAAAATTATAAGAGAAAAGTGCGCCAGTCAAAAAATTAGAAGAGAAAAGTCCAACAGTAAAAATAATATGAGAGAAAAGTGCACCAATCAAAAAATTATAAGAGAGAAGTGCAACAGTAAAAAAATAATAAGAGAAAAGTGCACCAATCAAAAAATTATAAGAGAAAAGTGCACCAGTAAAAAAATTATAAGGGAAAAGTGCAACAATCAAAAAATTATAAGAGAAAAGTACACCAGTCAAAAAATAATAAGAGAAAAGTGCACCAGTAAAAAAATTAGAAGAGAAAAGTGCACCAATCAATAAATTATAAGAGAAAAGTGCAAAAGTCAAAAAATAATAACAGAAAAGTACACCAGTCAAAAAGTTCTAAAAGAAAAATAGCGGAGTAAACATAAAATGGCGAAAGAACAAGACAGCAGTTGTCACCCTGAAAAAATGAGACTAAAGTAGTTCTTTGAACAATCAAAATGGATGTAATGATCTGAAATTCCTAACTAGGCGGTTAGTTTTCCGCTTAACCACGTGACACGTCGTTCAACCTCCTTCTGGGACCGGTTTGTACCCTTCGTCATCGAAGAAGCAGTGCTCTGTTTTATGCTCGAATTGCAACTCCGCCTTCTTGCTCGAGGAAACAGTAAAACGAGACAAAGATGCAAATAACTGGATCACTCGAAATATTTGTAAGTGATTGTTCAGAGAACGCAGGAAAATTAGAGGATGATAAGGTGTGGAGCAAAAACTTGTTCTGCTTTCTCGATGTTTCTGCATCTTTACTTTTAACTCTTTCATTAGTCTGTGCATAACTAATGACATAGTTTTCTGGTCGAATATCTTCTGAAGAGTTTTAAGAAGTATTGTAGCTTTGGGAATAAAATACAATCTGAAAAAGAAATATGAAATGAATGAAAAGTAAGAAATGAACAAAGAGTATGAAATAAATTTTTCATCTTCTTATTCTTGTTTTGAGAAGTTCCTTGTAACAAATACAATTGATATATCTCTGGTATGCAGCGTTCCGTCGTGCATAATCTTGATAAACACGCGGCGGTCGTTTGATTTATCCGCCATCGAATAACCCGATCCTCGAAGCGTTTCGATTTTGTTGCATCGCTTTCGAGCTCTTCTAACCTCGTAAAGTTGGATTTTATTATTTTTCCACGAATGTGTGTCGCAGAAAATTTGCTACAGTAAGCTTTGGAAGATGAGTTTGCTGAGATCGGTGTAACCTAACCTCTTCATTAACACATTTCACGTAATACACAATTTTTTACAATTAAATTTTCACATAATAGTTTTATCAAAATTTACCTTGAAATGTATCTATGTATCTTTTATGTGTAAAATATTTTAGTTCGGAAAAAAAATCTTATCTGAATTTTTCTTTTGGACGAAGTCGACCTTTGAACAATTTAAATTGCAAATAATTTAACCTCCTAATCGTTCTGATACATAATTACCTGAAAATGATTGTTAAAATTACTCTAAGTAATTTTCTGAAAAACCTATGACACATTCACACCTTTTGCGACCAAAACCGGTTGCACTTATTTTTCAATTACAGAGAAGAGAAATTACTCTCCACTTGAATAATCATTTAATTAAGCAATCAAAACGATCAAGTGTAGTTATCTAGAAATCGAACAATCTAAAAGAACAGTCAAGAATTTCAAAAAAATAGGAAATTCCAGCACAGGTAAGGTGCGCTGGCGCTACAGATTGTGATCAGAGAAAACATCAATCCCGTATCCTATTTTCTACTTTAAAGCACGTATCGTTTCTAGACAGACCTATTAGCACTCATTCCTCAACATCAGGTTAAGCTCTGGAGACAGTAGTGAAATCCTGTAAATGCTTGTAAATGTTTGATACCGGAAAAATAAACCTACATACAATTTACGGCCTTTAAGGATAGTTTGATGTGAGATCAAACATATGTGATACAGGTTTTATTACATGGCTCGCACCAGACAAATCTTAATTGAAATAATATCTTCTGAACACTTTACTGTATCATTTATTGGTAATAAATTTATTTTTAAAGGCAGTGAATGTAGGTTTGGAGAGAGGTCACTGTAAATGGATTTGAGAAGAATGAAGAGTTCTAGTTAGACAAGGTAGACTTACTTAGAGGACCATCAGGTGGACCTAGAGATCAAGGTGAACCTAGAGAACAAGGTGGACCTAGAGGACCATCAGGTGGACCTAGAGAACAAGGTGGACATAGAGAACAAGGTGAACCTAGAGGACCATCAGGTGGACGTAGAGATCAAAGTG